GTTATTTAGAGTGGCTCCACTCTAAAATAAAATGTACTAAACAAACTGTAAACAAGTAAACAATCATATAATTTCTGACAGTGTTCATATTAAATCTGCAAACGCAGGATTTACCTTGAGCTCTGTAAGGATACACATCTCCTGGACTGTTGTAGAGATCCATCGGAGCGCAGGATGCTGAGGTGCTTGTTCTTTTTAAAACACCTGTTGGGTAAAAACAACAACAACATAGAACCATTGGGCCTCATGCAAGAACCGTTCGTACGCACAGATTTGTTCTTAAATTGTGCGTACGAGTGATTTAGGAGAATTTGTGGCATTCACCAGTTTTCTCATATTGTAAGATTTTCTTCAGATACAAACAAAATTTTTGTGGTCCAGACCTGTCGTATATTTTCTGTGCAGTCAGTCTGTTGTTATCCAAACAGATTTTTTTCTCTAATATCTTTATATTTCTTTAGTTTGAAGATATTTTGAGTTGAAAATAAATCACACTCCATAATTATGTTGACAATAGGCTATTCTGTCTGAATTGGACTTACAATTTTAAATGTATTAATGTAGATTAACGATGTAAATTAGTTAAATTAAATTGGCAATTAATGTTGTATAACACTATAATATTAATATGAAGATCTCAAACAACAAACCAACTTAAATTATGTATTAATTGAAGTTTAATTTGTATCGATATATAATGAGCTTTATAGATTATTTTTTAAATCAAATTTATTTTGTTCAGATTTATTAAGCACATCAGCTTTTTCTCCGAAGTGCCAGACATATTTTGGAGACATTTTAAAATGCTTTTTTTCAGAACCGCAACTGACACCACTTGGGTGGGGGAGACGGCCATGGGGGGCCGGTGCACGACCGCTCTTCTTTTGAGTAAATGAAAATTATTTAACACAGGTGTTTACACTTWAATTAAAAAATTTTGACCAAAGAAAAACTGGAGCAGGACTAGAGAGAGATGAATATGATTTAGATTTGTATTTCTGTGACCGTATACGACCCACAGACACAACATTAACAGCAGTCTCGTTTCATTCCTCGGCTTTAGCAGCTCCTTTAATTCCACAGCTGACGCTGCTAAAAATGACAGATTTTTTTTCTGGATCTCTGAGAGCAGGACTTCAATCTCCGAACTCGTGAAGTTCTTCTTTTTTACTTTGCAATGTCATTTATGAATGACCACTTCCTGGTATGTGGGGCAGGAAACATGGCCTTAAATGGTGTTTTTCTGGTGCTAATTATGCTAATCTCCTCTCCTCGTGCACGAGCACCTGGATACGAAGTGGCATTCATCAGTTTACGTTCCTCATTTACACACTTTTCCTGAAGATAGAAGTTTGTTGAATCTGACGTGGCATGTTCGTACAAAGGGTTAGTATGAACAYAAGAGAAATTTAGGATAAGAATACAAAAATGTTCCTGCTTGAGGCCCAGTGTTTGTTGAAGTTTTGCTTAATTTGTTCTTCTGTCTGTTGCTCTTTTTCTCCACACATCGCTCTGTCCGGTCTTGTAAAATCAGACTTTCAAAAAACAATTCTTGTCTTAAACCAGAAGGTCTCTTATTCATTCAGATTAAAGTGAACTAAAAGACTTAGGAATTAAATTATTATGAAATAGAAGATCTATAAGAGTGGAGCCACACAGGTTTTTTAAAACTACTTTCTTTCTCTCTTCTTAACTTTGTCTTTATCATTTTTGTGATGTCCTGAAAATTTTGCACAAGTTTCTCTTTTTTGCAACAAAAGTAAACTATTCAACTTTACAAAGGAATCCGATGAACTTTTTTTGCACGCTGTTGAGGACAAGGAGACACCTCAGAGGGTGCAGGTAGTGGCTTCAGCCAATGAAAACGTGCAGAGGCTTTTTAGGAAACATTTACCTCATAAAAATCTGTGCACCACAGTAAAACTTCATACTGACCTTGGTCTCGTAGCTGGTCTGGCTGAGCTTTGTCAATGTCCTCCAATAAACCAATATGAGCTTCAATGAAACTCTGCACATGGTTCAGCTGAGTCTTCACGTCCTTCAGGATGTGGAGGTAGTCAACCAGGACTCCACTGTTGGTTAGAGCAGCTGGACGGGGAGTGCATGATTGATTCTGAAGTTATGTCTTTAAAGGGATCCCTGATTAGTTGCAACATTAGACTTTATTTGATAAACATACACTCACCGGCCACTTTATTAGGTACACCACGCTAGTAATGGGTTGGACCCCCTTTTGCCTTCAGAACTGCCTCAATTCTTCGTGGCATAGATTCAACAAG